TAAGACATTTTTATTTTTATTATTATTTTTTAAGTACTTACGACGCCACTGGATAAACAACTGGTTTATTATCAATAACCAATTATAACCAATTATCAATTAATAATCGATTTAAGTTTTCAGATAGCTTCCATAATAATTAAGATACGATACAAAAAACTAAATATTTTCAATTTATTTTGTTTACTTTAAAAAATTGTTTTTTTAGTTTTGCTAATAATACAAATGAATAAAATCAGTTACAAAATAATTTTAAAACCCAGTTTTCAATGGAATCGGAAATATATATATAAAATTTATATATAAAAGTAAACAAAATAAATTGAAAATATTTAGTTTTTTTGTATCGTATCTTAATTATTATGGACGCCATCCGAAAACTTAAATTGATTATTAATTGATAGTTGGATATAACTAGTTATTGAAAATAAACCAGATGTTTATCCAGTGGCGTCGTAAGGAATTATATAAAAGTATTATAAAAATTAGAACTTAAGTATCTTAGGTAAGGAGGATTCATTATAATTTATCAGATTTAAAATAAATACTGTCCTAAGGGTAGTTTACTCTTGACTCGAAAACAATCAAACCCCATTAAAAGGTACGTCTATGACGTATAGCATTTCTTACCCTGGGCAAACTGTACGTCTTATAGCTATACAGTCTCCTGCCAAAAATTAAAAAGATCGCTCAACAAACAATCAAGAAATTGGCTTGTATCCATCTTAAGTGGGACACCCTGTATACATAAGTTAATGTATAGTAGTAGTTAAACAGAACTTAATAATTAACAAATCTCGAGAAAAAGTTCAAGTTTAGAAAATTTATTGTATTAATTATCCAAGGCCACTTAGTTTCTTAAAAATATAAAAACTGATAATGTTATTGTTTAGGGCTTCATGGACCTAAAGGAAAATCTGGAAGACCCGGTATTAATGGAACACCTGGATTGCCTGGAGTTACAGCTTATGAATATAGAAATAAGAATATATCAGCTCTTCTTATACCGCCATCTATTGCTGGTGAGTCAATAATTTTTTATACTGTCTTGCGTAGTTTTGTGAAAGTTATTTTGTGTAACATTTTTACTTAGAAAAATACAGCAGGGCGAGTTTTATACGATGTTCTCTATGGGTTTCGGAAACTACTGGAGATAAAGAGTCGTTTAAATAAGGAAAGAGTTGCAGTTTTGTGGGGTCATAAATATGCTCCTTAGAATGACATGCACAATATAACGTTGAGTGTGAATTAGTTTTTTACTAGTTATTTCTGGATAATTATCTGACAAACATAAGATAAAAATCAATAAATATCTAAGTCAGAGAAAACAAATTTTAATAATTTCTTAATATTAACAGATAATTTACCACCCTATTAAAGTGACAAAAAATTCTCCTTTGCTAGCAAATATTCTAAATTTAATCTAAAAATGATGTTTGTTAGAGAAATATATCACTAAAGTTTCATTATAAAACTTCTTTTACTTTTAAGCATTTGATGTAAAGCGTATAATCTTAAAATTGTAAAAATTAAATCAAATGCTTATCATATACCTTTTAATTATGCACATGCACAAGTAACATATAAAATGGTATGTTTAACATGATCTACAAATATCTCCCAAAATATACCATTCAATTTTAAGTTGTAATTTAACTGTTAAAATTAACAAGTAAAAACAGAAACCCCAAAATTTGTGACTTATTTATATAATAATAATAATAGCTCCCGTATACAGACCGGACCACCGTAGTAGTAACATAGGCAGAACCGGACGAATTAGCGTATACCCGTCCGCCGGATAAAAAGCAGGCGAAAAAATGCGATAAAATAAAAATAGGTAGATATGCGATAAGAATGTTTCAGAATTTGTATTTATTCCTGTTTTAATAGCCAAAACGAATACATAGATTCTCGCGACAGTTCTCGTGTAAAATTTATTTTTAAGTAAAATAATGGATGTTTACGAAGTTCGTAAGAAAATTCAAATTGTAAAATGGTATTTCCAAAATAGGTCTTATCGGAATATACAAACAATTTTCCACAAACTTTTGTAAACAGGTCAATTCCATCTTTACCTACTGTATCAAGAGTCATTAATAATTTTGAAACACATGGGTGCGTGTTCCCACAAAAACACAAAAAGCCTGATGTGTTGATTAATGAAGAACAGGAGTTAAAGCAAGTGTTCATTTGTGCTACCGCGGATCAAAATCCCACGTTTTCAAGTAATCAAATTGCTGAGGTGGTTGTCCTGCCCACAATGCCCGTATTGTTCAAGAATATTTGAACAATACTTTTCCCAACCGTTTAATTAATGGACATTTAACTATTTTGTGGCCCGCTAGATCAACAGATCTTTCTCCAAATGATTTCTTTTTGTGGGGTTATGTAAAATCCAAAATGTATGGTCATAATAGGGCTAATAATCTGGATGAGCTTCAAGTAAAAATACGAGAGGTTTTCCAAACTATTAGCCCTAATATGTTAGCCAATGTCAGACGGGGATTTTACGACCGCTTAGGCTTCTGTCTAGCACAAGAAGATGGTCTTTTGAACACTTTTTCTTATTTATAGTAATATTTTAGTTTTTTTGGGGGGTTTAGAGAATTTATTTATTTTTAGTTTTGTCTTTTAAACACACTCAAATAATAAATATTTAAGTATTTTCATTTTAAATGTTACCTTAAGTGAAGGTAAACACTTAAAATGAAAATAATAAATACTCGGCACTCCTCGCGTCGTATTCCTAGTCTGTCACGACCGACCCGTCCAAGCACAACTGCAACTGCGTACTGCCTGACCAGCCGACTAGTCGGCAGTGAATCTCGACTACGAACGCAAAACGGGTAAACGTAAATTCGTCCGGCAACTTGCTATGTTACTAGTAGCCTGGTCTTCTCTGTATAGCGTTTAAAGCCTTGGAAGTAGCAAGGTACAGCTTGCCATACTAGAACCGTTCGGTATACAAGGAATGTAATGTGGCTAGCACTACGCTTCAACCGCCTATTATGACCTCAGGATTGTGAATCCCAAGTACTCATATCAGGCCGAGTCGACCTAGGTACCCAAACTATTTTTATTTTAATAAAAATAGTCGGCTGATGAAATGTCGGGTGTGGGATTCGAACCCACTACCTTGAGATTGATAGGTTAGGTTAGTTATTTATACAGGGCTGTTCACCACATACGACACGGAGTATTGTAGCTAAACGATGAGATTTTTACAAATTGTAAGTTTGGGGTTCGTTGAAGGACTATTAGAGCTACAATTTAAAAATATTTTTACAAGATACAGAGTGTCCCAAATAAATAAAAAATATCAAAGTTGTATTTTTTTAAATGGAACACCCTGTATATTATTACATTTTTAGTTTCTACGATTAAAATAAAGGTAAATTTGATTAAGGTTTATTATACTTAAACATTACGTTTTTGAAATATTTTCAATTTTGTGAAATTGCAGTAAAAATTTTAAAGCTTTATTTCTCCAAGGGTATCAATGTTTTTAATACTAAATATTTAATGAAGTTTATTTATTGATCAGTTATTGTGTTGCAATAATAAAAATAATACTACTTTATAGAGAGTGTCTAAAAATTTACTTTAAATAATTATTAACTTCAAACGGCAACAACTTCTTTAATTTAAATAGAATGCCCTGTATATTTTAGGAGAATCAGATGCACAATTAAATTGTCTATCAAATTGCATTATACCATTTTTTACCTATCCCTTCAAGTTTTAGTAGAAAATGCATTTTCTTATAATTTAGACCTCATTTATCAATATATCCATGGAATATTGACATTTTAGATTGTTTTTAAAGCAACAAATGTACAAAATGTACAGACTAGTAATATTATCGTTTTTAGCAAAACGATAATATTACTAGCCCATTTGTATACAAAAAGAAAACTATTTAAATCTTTATAAAAGAGTATACCATTAATTAAATATAACACCATTATTTCCGCCCATATACTAATTAATTACATACTTAATTGTGTTCGTTAATAAATCATTATAAATAAATGTGGATTTGAGTCAGAAATCAATATAATAATAAGTTATCAAATTAAAGTCTCTGTTGTTATAAATAAGCATTTATTAAAAAATGAAAGATCTGAAGGTGAACTTTGTTTAATTCTTATTGTTGTAAATATCAATATGGTAGAATAATTAAAAAGTAAATCAGAGGAGAGTCGAGGGCTCTCTCGGGGAGAACGAATGAAGAAGTCATGCTGTTCAGTTGAGTTGAGTTCTCCAAGTATCATAATGACAGTAAAGTAAGTTTATATTTTTTATATATTTTCTCTAAGTATATTTTATTGGTCAAAAGGTATTCTGCTTGACATTTCTCCTACCTAAATTAATGTATTTAATTCTTTAATAAATTTATATTTTGTTTTTATATATATTGATTGTTTTAACGATCTTCGATACCTAAAACGTCCCTAGCCGCAACCCTCTAAAACGGGGTCGCGACAGTATTATACCATTTTTTACCTATCCCTTCAAGTTTTCGTAGAAAATGCATTTTCTTATAATTTAGACCTCATTTATCAATATATCCATGGAATATTGACATTTTAGATTGTTTTTAAAGCAACAAATGTACAAAATGTACAGACTAGTAATATTATCGTTTTTAGCAAAACGATAATAGTACTAGCCCATTTGTATGCAAAAAACTATTTAAATCTTTATAAAAGAGTATACCATTAATCAAATATAACATCATTATTTCCGCCCATATACTAATTAATTACATACTTAATTGTGTTCGTTAATAAATTATTATAAATAAATGTGGATTTGAGTCAGAAATCAATATAATAATAAGTTATCAAATTAAAGTCTCTGTTGTTATAAATAAGCA